TGTGAAAGAGGATATGAATAAGAAAGGTGTGGATGTGAGGCTGACGTCTGATAGAGAAGAATGGAAGAAGAAAACATGTTGTGCCGACCCCACGTAACGTGGGATAAAGGGCAGGAGGATGATGAAACACGTGTAGATAATGAAAATACAGCTAATTTTAACAACGTACACACAATGAATGTGCAGACTGTCATTTTAATGACCGATTAGTTATTTTTATTTTGTAAAAGTCGCGTGAGAAACGAAAACAAGGTCAAAAGGAACACCACTCAACAAGTACATAAGCTATACTCTTTAAAGATTTTGTAGATGAGTATACAAAGATACCTAAATGTACAGGGTCAACGGACGTTCCTAATATGTACTGCGAAATATGACAATTTTATTTTATGAGCTTTGAGGGTAGGAGAGACTTCTCTTGCACTTGTTGTGTACATTTAAACCAGTCGCAGAACAATGACATAAAGTAAAATTATGCCAAAGTCTCAGCAACATAATATTAGTCAAATGTACTTTGAATTAAAACTAACTGTATACCGATAAATCAAATGATTCCAAGATCATATTTTCAGATCAAAATTACTTACTTAAACAAATAAACAAAAAACTAAGTAAGAACTGTTAATAGCAAGAATATTATTGTTTTTAGTTATTAACATTACTTCTTTTATTGAAATTCCCATCAATTGGTTAAAAATAACTGCTAAAATTAAGCCATTTTCTTCAGTAATTACTTCTCTTTATCTAAATAAGAGTGTAAGTGTATATAATAAAGACTAAAAAACCCAAAGCTTATTTTTAACATTTTGAATTTGAATCATCACAGGAAAGTCATTGTTTTGATGAATTAGTGATATAATAGTTGTTTTTTAGTTTCACATTGACCTTGATTAACGTTATCTTTCAACAAAACGTTTCCACTTTCTGAACAATCCTTATTGTGCAATATCCAACAGTCATATCGTAACAGATGACTTTAAAGAATTTCTCCAATACTAGGTACAATAAAGACCAAAGTTCGTCGAACAAAGCCACATTACAACTTCTTTCGATGAAAACAATAAAAGCACTATAGCGAACTGAATAATAAGTAGGTAACAGCGTCACACGAACAAACAAACCCTAGTTCAATGCATGTTCTAGAAATAATTGTTTATGAAAGAGTATCCAGATATTATATAACAGTATTCCACAGTTTAATTAGAACAGTAATGGTTTCATCGAATAATAAAGCGATAGTATTGCACATTGGAATATGATATCTTACTCAAATAGGTTACATACTCAAACCAAATAATTATGATCTTAGACTCAAACGTTCTATTTGTAAGGTTACATGCGGTTTTGTGGTTACTTTACAATTTTTACATAATTGGATAAATTATTTCTCAGCAGCGGTAGCTACTCGTATATGGTAAGAGTATGTAATAAAAAGGATCGATAAATGTTTTGCCAGGCACAAAACATGGTACACCGATATAGCTTTTATAAATATGAAAAAACAAATGAAAAAAAAAACAGGAAAATAGTTAAAACAATACTCAGTGCCAAGAGAGGGTTAACCGTAAGCATTTTAGTGGGTATGCCTCTGGGAGCCCACTTGGTGGGAAAGCCGCGCGGGTGGTATATGGCCAAATATAATGTATGGTAAAGGAAAAATAGATTTTCTGATAGTGCTGTTTTAATTCTTACTTATGATACGGCTGGCATTGACCTCAATATATGTTGTTATTTCCACTTTGTATTATTTCTCTCTTTTCAGTAGTATCTGTTTATTACGATTTTTCCGTTTAATATTCGGTTTCTTTTTATTGCTTTTTTACACAATATTATCGTAACCTTAAAAAAACTTTTTTTTAAACGTCAAATCCGTATGACTACTCTTTATTTACCTTCTTTGAAATGCGATATACTCTATTTCTTCTAATAAAAGTCACCAACCTAAGTATGTGCGTAATATTGGAATCGAAAACTTTAGACCTCAACAAAATCAAGTCTAACGGAGCTGTCCCATATGAAATCTAGGTACTTTGAATTAAAAAAAAAAACACCGTTCCCGTTATGTTCAGCGCACGCCGATCTAGATCGCATGAATCAATCGCGAAGGAAGTCAGCTATAATCCACTTAACACACAAAAATTTTAGACAATTCTTGTACGGGCGTACGGGAAAAAATATTTTTGTAAATTCAACTCTCTGATAAAATACAACTCAAAATTTTTGGTACACATCCTATTAAGCACATAGACTAAAAACGATTTTCCGCTATTTTTGGGAATATATACATCTCGATTATAACAAGTTTCAAAAAAAAAATATAAGTCACAATCAGTCTTATTAATAAACAAGGTTTAGCGTCGGAGAAAATTTACGTTAAGATTGCACTTAGTATTAGTCAAAATTCATATTATTAAACAGAGACTTAGAAAAGGTTAACCTAGTACGAGGTTCTAAGGGAGTAATATTTACTCCTAGTAGGTGGTACATTTCTAGATTAGGAAGTCTCTGTATAATATGAATTTCGACTAATACTAAAATTGCAATTTTTTCTGACGTTAAACCTTGTTTATCAATAGCACTGAATGAGATTAAGGTTGGTTATAAAAATAAATAAGAACGTTTTGTTTTTTTTTTATTCTCTATTAATGAGCTCGTCAGACTCAAACAGCATTTCAATGCCTTGAACAAATAATGGTGTTTAAACAAAACGCACGCTAGCGTATTAGTATCTAATATGATAATATTTGCATTAAAAACTTTGATTAACAACTATAATAATAAAGAGTTTATCTATCTAATGTCCATGGTTTACATTTTATAGTAATTTGTACTATAAAATGTTAAAACAATATATTTTATTAAACCTTAAAAGGACGTTATGTTATCGCGTAGGTTAAGATACAATTTTATTTATTATACTATTGATATCGGAATTATTTATCGTTTCTTTGTATTCCATATTAGTGAATGAGAGCGTATTAAATCCAATTATACTAGCATATACGATAGTTACCTTGCCAAACGTCATCCGTCTGTCTATTGTTTGGTTATATTAGGTAAGGTAAATTTGATACTAGGCTCACCTATTCCTAGTATTATCTAATACTGCATCCAAATACCTAATCCACCTTTTTGCAAACGCTGACGAGATTCACGTTATGCCTCCAATCAGAACTCTCCAACGACGAGGACCTGCCTCGAAGTGCAAGGTTAGAGTGGTTGGCCTACCTAATGAAAACTGCTGCGGAGTACCCATGAGGCATCTGGCACGGAAGACTCCACGAGACCTATCCCTACTTCGGGACCCTTTCTTTGGATCCCCTTCTACTTTTTCCCAAACAGTAAATGGCTCCAGAAATGCATATTTTCTGGACATACGACTCAACAAAAGGAGGGGATGCGTTAATGCTGTTCCGTCGTAATCAACCTAGTCTATCTAGTATTAGTAATTTCATATAATTGGCCAGATTTGACACTGCTTATTTATTGGGAATTCTATCTACAAGAAAATAGGATTTAATTGATTTTACAATGAGGACTGTTGTTCTAGTCTTGCGATAACATACTGTGGAATGTTACTCCGTAGTTTAAATAGTCGAAAATTGTGATATGAAGAGAAAAGTAGACAAGAATGACTCATAAATGAAAATATGATCTTTAATATTTTAGAAATACTAGGTAGGTCATGTATTTACAAAACTGAAATAGATGCCGCCTAGTATTTTAAAATACGTGAATCGGTTCTGGTAATTACGTCACACCCCTAATTTGCATCAAGATATTGCCCAATTATGCACTGACTAATGCACTAGATAAGCTTTTTATTTATAATTCATAAAAGTTTTGTATCAATTTACTAAAATGTCAGGAAAAAAATATGTGCTGACTGGGAACTTATTACATAATTATACCTATAAATTACGGACCGGTCCGGTAGTCTATATCAATTAATATATAATGAATCATAAAGATTGTTTGTTTGAAAACGATCACACCGACTTTGAAAAATCTTTCACAGACAAACGACTGCGTTCGAGAAACAACGAGACAATTCACTGTGTATTATTCAGTTAATAAAGTGTTTCCTTGCAACGAGTGTCAGGTACTCCCGTGACCGTCCGCTGCCACGGCTAGAGCTACTAGATTACCTTATTTTGAATTTATGTCTACAGATATTATATAATCTAAGCGTCTACATAAATAAAAAATCGAAACAAGGGGGTACCACGCAAATATATTACAATTTTAAAAACTGTAGATTACTAATAGGTTTTCCAACACACGTATCATGACATGTCGAGAAACGCATTGTCTACATCAGTTACTTTTCTCGGGTAAGATGTTCTATGGGCGCACCCAACAAAAGTCATTAGTACTTTAATATACCTATAATTTATTGTAAAGAACTATTTTTTTTGGTAACACTAGGAATTAATGCAAGTTTAGCGTTCAAATTGCATTTTTAAGTATAACAAAACGACACACAGACGACGTCACAGCTATTAGCTAGTAACATAATAATCGTACGATAAAAAGTCGATGACATTATAAGATAGTGAGACCCAACCAATTGATTATCGGTACTATTATTATTATAATTTTATACTTAAAAAATTAAATGTTTCCCTGTCACAGAAAGTCTGTTTATGTCCCTATAGTTAGGGTTATTAGATGACTAGTTCTAATAGCCCTTACTATAGGGACATAAATATAATCAGTTCCTCCCATAAATGTTAGCTTTAATCAATATCATTTATGTTTAGGTTATAACATGTTACTTTTATGGTAATACTTATAAATGTGATATTTGATAAGGAAAAACCTTAGTTGTTTCTTGAAACAGTAAAATAATAAATTAACACAGACACATAATTTATATTGTAGTTAAAAAATAGTGCAATAGATTATATGATAGCAACAGAAACTAATGTTCTAAAAATATTGTGCTACTCTCATAAACAAAATATATGTTCCATTATAAATTTATTCTAAACACTCACCTCTTTAGATTGCTTCGTAGCAAACATGAAGTCACCTTTAATTTGAAAGTCCGTTGCATCCTCAAACAATACATTAGCGTTATTAAGATCAGTGGGGTCACTGGCACTAAACACTGTGCTTGTTCTATCCGGCTTCCAACGCTCCAGATAAAACACCTTTGAGAAACCTGGTCCCGAAGACCAAAAGAATGTCTTCACAAAACCATGAATCATTTTGAATGTTTTTCCTCCATCCAGTGTAAGATATAACTGCAAAAACATTTTCGAATGAGGAAAAATTAACCTCATTTAATTTGGAAATGCGTGACTTAGTACAGTATATGCGGAAAATCATTATTATTAATTAGGTGAATGAGTAAATTTAATAGGTAGAATGATAAGCAGTAGAGTACATTGTGGAAACAGCTATATTGATAATATATACCTTTCTATTGGTGTCAACCTTGTCCAAGATAACATATTTATCAGGGAACTCTTCATCGAAAGCCAGCTCACTCGGGTGGAATGTCAAGTCAGATCTATGAATGTTACGACCATTGTCACTTGTGTAATAGAGCTTTTTGTTTGTTGAATCCACAAATACACACTGAAATAAGGTAATTATTTATAGAAAACCTTTAAGGAGTCTATTAATACTACTTCTATATTTTTTTATATGTAACAAATGCATTATAGGTATTAAGCTAATGACTTTAGTACCTTGTGTGCTGTAAATGTATATTTATAAAAAATTGAATAGACTGATCTTATGGACAATAAAAGTAATAACATTTTTGAAAAATCACTTACAAATTCAGGATACTTTGGGTGGTTAAAGAATTTATCCAACTGTGCATAGCCACTATCAGGAGCATTGCCCAAACGGAAACTTTCAGTTTTATTTGTAAAGTTCTTGCCATAGTCATAAGAGATGAAGAGCGCTGATGGTGAGATGCCACCTTTAGCGCGTGGACTAGAATCTCTCGCCAAACATATAATAACATTAGACCCTTCACCGACCCAGTGGACCATTAGCTGTTGATGGCTGTCATTTAGGTGAGTTGTCTGTTAAAAAAAAATGTATATATATTTCATAATATATTGATAAAGACAAATACATTATTTCTTAAATTTAAGACATCACTCATATAATAAAAGGTATCTCCAAATCTACTTGGTTTTGACAGTTTTTAATTCTTTTTAGTGTAAAGGGATGTTATAAAACAAAATTATGTTAAAATTACTGATAAAAACTACAAAGTGTTCCTTAATCCTAAATAATTGAAATATATCTTCTTTCATCTATAAATGCACATGTGCACATTTAGGATAATTGCCAATAATTATAAAAAAAGTCACCAAACACACAAACGAAACAGAAACCTACATGAGGAAACAGTAACATATTAAATAAATTCCTTAGTCAATGAATCTAAGACTGGAGGTTTAATATCTATAGTTAAATTAGTACAAAACCAGCATAGAAACTGATAATTAATACAATTAAATAAAATAATCTTACTAGGTTAAGTGTTATAACTTTGAAGAGAAAGTCAATAATAAATAATACAAGAAAAACTATACATACTTAATACATCAATCAATAAATCATCAAGACAGTCATTATTATCCAGAATGAATAAGAAACTATTATTTTGTCAACAATCACCGCATAAGTAATACTACAAAGTTTACACAAGTCACCTGACTTTATGCTTTACTTATTATTAAATGCAGTGTTATCACAAAGATAAATTAGCATAAATGTTAATTCAGAGTATACTTATTTTCTTAACCTTACAAAAGGAGAAAATTATGCAAGATAAAGTGTAGGTACATATATACTTTTATAGTATTTATATACATTATAGTATTTATTCACAAAAATTATGACGAAAACGCTTAGTCATTATAACTCAACTTTTAGATGCCCCTAATAAGAAATAAAAACAACAGTATCGACGTCACACTGTGATAAAAATAGTAGAAAGTGAACAGCAAAACAAATGTAAGGTGACAAATAGAAATCTCCGCAGCAACATTGTTATAATAATAAAAATCAAAATAACAAAGAGGGCTTATTGGACATAACAAGGAAATGGATCGTTACCCATGTACTTATATTTTTCTGTGCTGCGGGTGTCGGTGTCGGAACCGCATCTCGTTTTCTCCTTTCCAGCTGAGAATGATTCTCGTTATCCTCAAATCTGTTTATTACAGTTACTTTTTGAGAGTTCTGTTTTTCTTCTGCCACGTACAAAGTATCACCCGGCGTTCCATAACGATGCAAACAATAAACACTTGAAATGATATACACAAAAATTAGGATACTAACACGACGTCCGAATGTCACCAACATTTTGTGATCACTGCATAAATAATATTGAAATTCATCCGAGATGAAATTCAATGAACTGCACGCAAATCCACACAAATTAGACTTGAAGTGTGGTGCGATCGCAGTTCACTTCACTCACTTGACACTTCACCTTTGACATTGACATTCGTTGGAAACGGTGTTGCATTGTAATATTTTTTTTTTATTAACAGCGTTAAACTTATATAAAGTCAAACCTACAATATGTATCCAAGGATCAATAACTACATTCCAATTTAATTAATTAGTTTTAAATTCAATTTCAATAATCAATCTTCATCAGTATCATGGCGACACTTAGTTTGGTTTCGGGAACAATTTTTTTTTTATAATTTCTTCATTGTGTTTAGTGTTGTGCGAGTCAGCAATATTTGTTATTCGGAAATTTTGGTACTCGCGAAAAAAAAAATTGAATCAGGGTTCGAGTTACAAGACTTGGACAGGTATTCGAATACTAACAATAGTATTCGAGTACTTTAGTAGACTCGAGTACAATTTGAAGCGAACTTTGTAGTTTAATTCTGACGACAAAACTTTATATTTCATCACAAATCAGATATGAATGACAACAAAGGACGTAAATAGTAATTAAGACCATTGTAATAAGTAATTTGATAAAAAATATTAAAGGTGTATTAAAATTTTCTATTATCTGTCTGACGGACTAAATAGTTTTCTTTACTGAGTACCTGCTAGGTATTAGGGTCAGTACTCGAGTGTGCAAATCAACAAAATCAAATTGCAGAAAAACGCGCACGTTGAGGTTCTTTACGGATTACGGATAACTAAAGAATAAAAATGAGCGGATTTTTTTTGGTTAAGTTTCTCGATCAAATAAAAACAAACGAAAATATCGTATTTGTTACAATTTTGATATTGGATATTTGATATTGTTACAAAAAAATATAGCCTTATTAATAATAAATATCGATATATCGAATTATAAAAACGATATATCAATACTTTATGCGCATAAAGCAATTATCTATTAAAATTGTCAAAATATTCGAAATTTTAAAGCAAATACACACCTGGCTGTTTTGTCATCAGTTTTGTTATTCAAAATAGATACATAAAGTCAAGAAAACAACATCATCAACACAACAAAAATTACATTATTGAAACAAACCAGTTTTTGAGCACTCTCAGTGATACCAACCAAACCAACAAGCAGTATCATTGTCATAGACAAACAAAAAAGACAAGCAGGACATAGACTAATTCCTAAACTCATATGTCTATTGCTTATTTTTTCGAAATTTAAGAAATATATGAAGTAGAATTTATTCCACTTCTAGCGATGGGTCGTTATCCATTTTTCAAATCACGTAACGCAATCGCTATCAGATCGCCAATCACCGATATCAAAACTGTCTATTTTTGATAACTAGTTATTTCTACAACGCTAAAGTCAAACCGAATTTTACTCTTATGCTAACGCGATAAAGCTCAATTTTGGGTTGGTTACTTGATCACTCCGAAACCCGAATAACGTGAGCGAACTAGCATATACCTATTTCATTCACACGTATACTGACATCCTGTTTTTGTTTCATTCACACATGACAGATTGGATTGATTGCGATCCACATTATTTAAACGCTCTACATTACGCGTTATATTCTATACCGCTATTAAAATTGTACTACATGACCGTCAATGTAAAGCGTTAATATATAAATATGTCTACGTATCGCTGCGATCTGTGATCGCTGCTTCTTGGTGATCGATGCTACCTTGAAGCGAGGCAACCGACAATCAACGTAATGTCGTTTACATAAGAGTGAATTCGGTCTAACCTTAGAACGTTATGGATAATAGACAGTTATTGTAAACCTGTGATCGCTACTTCTTGGTGATCGTCAAATCAAAGATCGACTTTATGCTGTTGACATACGAGTGAATTTGGTTTAATTTTAGAACGTTATGGAAAATAGATAGTTATTGTATAACTGAATCACGAGTGATCGCGGTTCAGGCAGATCACTAGTTGAATAACTGTCTATCGCGAATAACGTCCATCGCTATCCACTTCCTGGTTCCCTATTGCTGCTGCTTTATGCTGATGACGCGATACTTAAAGCATCCTGATTTGTCAACATTTATAACGATTCGAAATTTACCATTCTGTACAGATAAATCAGTGAGTCACACTCACAGCTACGACTGTAAGATTACATTCCCGCCTCTTGACTATTTCAAATCCAAAAATAATAACTTATTTTATCAAGATCAAGTCAAAGAGTGAATCGGTTCCTTCTAGGCAAGCACGCTCCATCTTAGACCACTGCATTGCTTACCATCAGGTGATCTGTGGTAAGTGCTTGCCTATCTAGAATAAAAGAAGATAAAATAAAAAAGGATAATAAAAATAATCATTAGATTTTATGTTTATATTTATCGTAAAGTTACAGAACAATTACACTTTGTTTAGCAGCTTGCTTGGCCTTTAGACGGACCTGGGCGGCGATTCTGTCAAGATCACGCCTACCCTGTGTGCTAAGGATGCGGCCACCATCAGGTACTTTTTCAACCAACTTGAGCGCCTCCAAAGCTTGTAGAGCTTTACGGGCAATGCTTCCAGATGACCTGTAAACAATAAAAATCAACTAGTTATTTCATAGAATGACATTTTTTAAAGTATGTAAAGTATGAAGAGACAATATAAATTCGAGGGTCTTCAGACCCACACTGGGACACACAGGCAAAAAACAAGGTTTATACACATAATATTGCATGTATTACGGTGATTATGATATGCAGATAATTAATTACACATAAATGCAGCAAAAAACACTTTATATATAATGAGAATATAGTTTACCTGCAGAAATGTGATGGTGTGACACCGTTACGTTTACGACCACCAAAGATCTTAGTTACAGTCTTGACTCCAACAGGAGATCTGATGTAGATGTGGCGGAGAACCGCAGCACAACGTACATAAAACCAGTCAGGGTCATAAGGTGCCAACTCCTTGAAACGAGCAGTCTTAACAAGGTCCATGTGTTCGGGAACCTTGACTTTGCCTATTCTGTGAAAAGAATAATGAAAAAATTAATATGTTACCCCTCACCAATAAGATAGAATTGTTAAATGGTTAATTATTCAGAAATGCATTGTAAATATATTTCAGTAAAATATGTAAATTCTCTTTTATATGACAATAGGCTAGTAGACAACTTTTCTTTATTTTTTATATAAATAGTCCATTCATATCTGAGAAAAAATGTAGAAGTAACAGCATGTCTGCAATTAATATTGTCAGGGATACAGTACTGCTAGTTGGCTGAAAATTCTTCCTACAAATTCAAGGTACTAAGTGACACCACAAAGAAAGTTGTAATATTTTATATGTACATAATTTAATGCCATATATATTTTAGCAAAGTTGTAATATATTAATACTGAATTAGTCATAAAATAATTTTATTTATAGATTAAAATGCTTCATATAAAAGTTGTAAAAATAATGTCATATAAATTGTTGTTCTGCCATACTGGCCATTTCAAATCAATTTTCGAGTAATTATGGAGTATGGGTATCATGGCAGCAAAGCGGTATGAGCGGCCAGCAACATCGACGACGTTTACAGTTCAAACACTACAAACGAACGCTCCACCCGTTATTGGTCACCAACAATGAATTTAAGGCGATTGTGAACTGGTGAAAATCTACAACTGAATTAACAGCAGCTTTCGACGTTAGCATCAAAACAATATTGGTCCATTTGCGTCAAATTAGCAAAGTGAAAAAGCTTCATAAATTTCTTCTTTTTACAGACTTGCAACTTGCAGACTTCTTCTTTTTACAGAATTCATATAACTTCTTGGTAGGAAAAAAATTTAATACATGAGAGGCAGTAGAAAATGCCTTTGAAGAATTTATTGCATCCCATCCAGCTGATTTCTTCAAGAATAGCATCAATAAACTACCATTGTGTTGGCAAAGATGCATTGATTGCTTAGTGATTACTTTGATTAATAAAAATAATAAATATGCTTAATTAATTTCATGAAAAATGGCAATTTCATAGGTAAAGACCTAATAATAGAATTTGTATTTTCACTTTTAGGACACAAGCCTATTAAAGATGCAGAAATAGAACACTTTATAATTTTTACATTTATAAGCAATTTGAATAAATACTATGATGTCTTTGAAGCACTTTTCATAATTTCTTAAATCACTCCTAGAGGTTTTAACTGAATTGGAAGAAATGAGGTCTTAGTAGATCTTGGCCCTCGTAGCATTCTATGTGATCAGTAGAGTGGATATTTTGTTATAGATATTAATATTGAAGCACTGCATAATAGACAAAGAAATTAATCCATGACATTAAAAGGTTAAGTGATGGTGATAAAGTTGACACGGATTTGATGAAACACCCAGACATTATCAGCAGTGAACAATTTTTGCTGCTATTTATGTGTTCTTTAGATTTAAGAGCCACTGCAAAGTTGTATGATACTAGCCAAACCAATCATATGTTGCTGAGACACAAAGATGAAGATAACTGAGATAAAAAATTGTTCAGTAGTTTCAGATTATATTTATGACGTACATTGTGAAACAGAATTTTTATATAATAGATTTCATTTAATTAATATCATGTCATTTTGACTTAAAGTGGAATCGTCTTATGCCGATTTGACTGTAAATTATTTTCCTGATGTTTGTTCCTAGAAATTTAATGGAAGCAACAATACCTCAAACAAAAAATAATATAAATTTATTTTAATTTGAATTGGCATAAAGCAATGTTTAATTAGATACATTTGGAATCTGATATAATAGCGGGAATATGCTCGAAAATACTTGTATGGAATGCCTAATGCATATTGAGCTTAACAATAAAAAATATAGTTAATATGTTCAAGGTTACTTCACTTACTTTTTAAGATGGGCCGCGACAAACTTGACGACTTTGTCTTGTTCAACATCCTTCAGCGTGACGGAACGCATCTGAAAAATTACAATGCTATATGAAGCACTAACAAAGTGAGGTTATATAGCTACTGTAAAAAAAATTAGCACCAAAACAAATTAGTCCCGAATTTATGAGAACATTGATGTTATAATTTTATTAACACATCTATTGGCGAATACTTTTGTAATTCCAACACCCTGCAAACCAGAAAGGATGAAACATTGGTTTTTCTCGATGATGTTCCATCACTGAATACAAATAACCGAAGTCCCCACAAATATTTTAGTACAGTTAACAATTTACCTTAGGTTAAAATTTATTGATTTTCGATTATAATAATGTATTTTATAAATGTTTATTCAATGGAAATACCATGTGGCATACACACCTTGGCTGAGCTTGACAACCGGAAAGAAATGGGAATAAAACAGTTACCAGATGTAGTATCTCAAATTTCCCTATATGCATACTAGGGTATTCTACCCTGACAAAGTATTAATAATTCTTTTTTTTTTTATAGAATATATATACCAAGAAAAAATATAAAGCGAATAAAAAGTAATTTCTAAACAAGAAATTAAATTATTTTTTAAATCTACGAAAACACTGTCATGTTGGCAATGGCGAGTAATACCTAAATTAAATAATGCCAGCAATTAGAGACTGACGGGAACCAAAATAAATTTCGGCAACATTTTTAGATTAGACCGAAATTGAAACTGAAACTTCTTACAAGTAAATGAGTGGAAAATTTTGTGGTATTATTTCTCTCTTTTCACAATGGTTCTCTTTCAATAAGTTTGTTTAGTGTTTACTCCTTTTTTTATCCCATTTCAATTAAACTCGCAGTGTTCCTTAAGTTGAAAGCTAAGAAATTAAACAAAACGAATCATTGCAATCTGACGTCCAGTTTACGAAATATTCTTGGACATACGTACATACATCTATAAAATTTAGCACATGTGTTTAGAAGCCCATACAGACCAACATTTATGAATATTACGCCATTCCAACCAAATAACATACATACACCTCGACTTGATGACCTCCTTCATTTGAAGTCAGTTGATAAAATAATTAAAATGTAAGTCCAACTTTTTTTGTTCATTTTCTATTAGTGTGTTATCAGGCATGATTAGCTACGAGGATGCGGCAAATGTCTTCGTCGCTAATTGGATAGAATGCAATGCACGAAACAAAACCAATCAATCAAAGCACAAGAACTACTAAATGCAGTTTCGGTTGTGGTCGTAGTTGTGGTAGGTTTGCCACCGAAATTAAAATTAGACCGAAGCCCGTTTTTTTTGCCACAACTCGAAACAGAAATCGAACTTTTTATCGGACACTACCAGCCATATAAGTAACGATATACTTGTGCAAGTATGCTTAAAAGTCTTAAGATCCACCTATTTTAGGAAGAAAGAGGGCTACTAAATACAAATCAGTCCAATGTTTTTTCATTATTTATCTTTTACTACCATAATTGCCCTAAATGAGACCTCTATTAGAAAAAAGCCTTTAAGATGAAAGCCGTTATCTAAAAAATCTACTGACAGGAAACTTTATTGTGATCCATCCGAATGATTCTAAACAGTTGTCCGAAACCTTTTTTTGGAAATTCGATGATGAAACGATGGACAGCATGACAAGCAAGTTGGAATAGTAAGAGGGAAGCCAACTGTGCAATTCGATATGTAATTTCCCCAGAATTTTAGAAGCACTTCTGTACTGGCAACTTGCGAAAAAAAGTTTATTTTTAATACTTATTTTTTATTAAGACAGAGGTTCTATTCCATACTGCCATGTAAAAAGCACTTTCATAAAAATACAATTTATAAAAAAAATTAACAAGACTGCTCACTTCATCCTAAATAAATATGAAACAAGCAAGAGTGTTCTTTCCTTTACACGTTCTTTTCTAGTTATGTTAAAATCACTACCAACACTTTTAGTATAAACCAATCCCTAATACATACTAAGTTCCAAAACAAAATGAGTAATCTACTCAGTTTCGTCTAGTAAAATCAAATTAGGTATTATTATAACACGAGGTTACTTCGAGTCGTGTTTCGGTGTCTCTTTGGAAATTAAGCTTCCGGTTTGACTGATATGTTTTTTTTATTTTAAAATCTATACCTATAGAATCCAATATTGTAACACATATGTAAATTTAATCAGTATTAACACCATTATCTTTTAAGTAAAAGTTGATTTTTGCAGGGTACGAATGGACCAAAGTTAGTCGTTTCCATCCCTTTTAACTAACATATAAAAAAACTGAAATTTGCAAAGTTTGAAATTTAGATATTAATACAAAAGCGAAAAAGTACAAATAGAAGAGTGTTTACTGAGTTTTCAAAATTAATTTAATTTTATAAATGAAAGAAAACCGGAAAGGTTATCATGGAGGAACGAAGAAAGTTCAGAGTACAGTTTAATTTCGGGAACAAATGTTTTTTTTTAAATATTTCCTCATTTCCGAAGAAACACCTTTTGTTCCTAGATCCTTTATATTCATTTTCGACCAGAGATAACTTTTGTGTCCAAGAATATAGATATCATTTTTTTTCTGTATTACTTGCATTGTCTATGCGCGGCTGTCAAATTTAGAAATTGGAAAATGGCCGCGAAACAGAATTCATTTGTGCAAGAAGGTATCTAATTCTACTTTCGAGTGGTTAAATTATTTTTCAGTTCAGAATCTATATAGTACTGTGTTTTGTTTTTATGCGATTATGTTAATATCGAATTTTGTGGACTAGATATTTTAATAGATTATTGTTACAGGCGTAAAGTCAGACGCCGCATCTGATGATATTCCGCTGACATCCTTGGAAGAAAGTTTACTCAGTCTGGAGAAGTTAGATCGTGCTTCTCCAGAACTCTGGCCTGAACAAAGTAAAGTTCTATAGTAATGTATATTTTTTAGCATAACTAACAATTTTATATTATGATTTTCAAAAATCGCGCGATTTGTCTTTTCACCCTGATGTTGTCATTCCGTGCATAGGTAGTACTATTGGACTATGTACGTGTATTGGCATTTCGTTTGTAACCGTTTCTATTTTAAAACTTATTAACCATGGGTGACGGAAATAATAAATTTGCCCACACTGATGATAGATCACGATCTAATGATTCTTTCACAGTACCTGGCGTGTCAGATTTTGCGCCATTACAAAATGTCAACGATTCGCCTCCAGCTTGGAATAAGGGTTTCACCAAAGAAGACTACACATATATGCAGCGTAAGATACAATTTTTTGCTTATTGGTTAGGTGCCTAGCTTAATTCAGAAAATAAAATTTAGTGAAGCCTACAATGTTGTTTATATCACATTATAGTAGATGATTTAACTATAAAAGTGATGTAATTTGAGTATTACTTTTTTAATCAGCGTTAACACCATTATTTTTAATATTTCCTAAATGTTTTTATCGTGACTGCGGAGATAAAACAAAAATTCACTTCTTTTATGTCAAATTATGTCCCACTTAGTAGGCCAAATATTTTTTTATTTTTATTAGGCAAAAAATTTGTCTTGCAGAAGCCCTACATTCAGCTATTTAATGTGATTTTTACACCTTAAATATGCATAGATATGTAAATCGAGTTGCTCTGCCAAGTATTTAGTTTATGAATGTTCGGTAAATCTCTAAAAATTACCATTCAAATTATGTGTGCAACATTTGTTTTTATAACTTTAACTTTGCCTTCAACTTTTGAACAATCACTTGAACCTAAGAAATATAAAAGGTTATATTTAATGTTTCTAGACATTGAATATAACCTTTTATATATTGTCGTTGAAGTTTTAACATCATGCAAGTCACTTTTTAGTTGTCTTGACATTCAGATGTAATATTATGATTTTTTAATTAAAAGCTAATGATCTTAATACATATAAAACAAAGTGAAATCAAATTGTAAAATTGTGTTATTGTATCTATGCAAATTTATGTAGTTTTTACACTCTCCTTAAAAGTTGCTATCGGGTTATACATGCTGTTATAACTTCAATGACAATATACAAACTTATTAAAGTTGTCTTTAATCTTTTACTTACAGAATTGAGTTCTCTTCCTACAAGTGGTCTCATTATGGAGGTGAAGAAATTACATGATCTCGCATACCAGCTGGGTTTAGAAGAAGCCAAAGAGATGACAAGAGGAAAATATTTGAATATATTCACCTCCAAGCGACAGAGATAGTTTAAAGTGTAAATTGTTAGATGTTTTTATTATATTTTTATGATACAAATTATTTTATGACAGAGTTAAATTCATATAATAGCTATAATAAAGTATAAGAGTAAAAATACTTTTGTTTTTAATTTACAAAATCTATTTGTTCCATAGACTTAGGAAAAAGACATAATGACTGTTGCTTCTCAATAAGTATATGAGAACTTAATATTCGTAAAAATAATATAAATTAATTAACAGTGCGTGTAACTAGACTCCAAAAAGGTAATAACTCATTCAGGGGTCTTTGTGTGCTCTTACAAAATAAGATCCCCAAACAAAATACAACAATTAGATATTATTCAATTTAAATCTACTATAAAGAATACTTATTAAAAAAGCTTATAACAAGGTATCAGATTATATAACAGATAAGAATGCTTGGACTTAAGATGGACCAGCAACCGGATAGGTGATTTCTTCTAAACTCATTTCTCGAAAATTATCTTGTTGCCATTATTATTAAATTATTGTGTCATAAGACCATAGATTTTCTGTCTATTTATAATGTAATGATCTGGTAATGACGTGACTTTTGTGAATGTCATTACTCTCATTAGAGCTGGTGAGTTTCTTGCTCGTTCTTCTTATCAGCCAAAAGACGTCCTGAACTAGTGGTAGGGAAAAAAATGTTCGACGATCCAAAAGTACGTTTAAGAAGACTGAATAAAGATTATTTTGACTTTGACCCACTAATCTGTACCGATTGTGAGTCCGAGTGGTGGGTCATACATGGCCCATTCCCCTTATTCAATTCCATCCACAGGGAAGGTCTGTGCCCCAGCAGTGTGGGCGTCAATTGATAATGGTGATAAGAAAATAGGTATAGAAAAAGAGTTTCCGATTCTTTCTAGTCAGTAAAATGGGTATGGTCAGCGAAATCTGTGTTCAGTACGATGAAAAGTGTTTGCACATTTTATTATGCATGATGGGTAAAGTTTGTATTGTGGGAGATTAACACGATTAGGAATTAGGAAAAAAATATAGTTTTCAATTGCCTATTCACTTGATTTTATTGACGAGATAGACGTAGGCTAGAAGAATATTTCTGGGATATTTGGTTTTATCCTTCGTGTTGAAATCATTCCTTAAAGATGGGGTTAATTGAAAAAAGATTTATTAATACTTAGTCTTTTTATTGAATTTTGACATTAAGCAAGTTAAAATCAACACAAATGTTTAAACATTTTCGTCTTACGTTTTAGAAACGAAACAATCTTTTACATTCTGTCTATAAATCTTATCTTGAGAGGCTTATTAGGTTTAGCCAAGAACGTTCTTGTGGGCTGAATGTCTCCGTAATGGTACTCCATTTTATATTTTTGCACCATCTGTAACAAGACGTTAGGTAATAATCCTCACATCGGCACTTATAATGTTTGAAATTTTGAATGGAGTTTGTAATGAACTGCATTTAGTTGTACCAGTAAGAGAGCGGCAACTATAATTAAATATTTAAACTGTAAGAGACTATTCGTATCGCGACTTTGTTTTCCCACGCGATTATTTTTCCGCATGTGCTGAGATTCAATAATCATGATTAGCGCGTTTATTAAACTACAGATTTTCACGATTGCTCAGTCGTGCATCAGCACTAGCGGCGGAAAAATGTTACGCGGTTCGTCACCCGTCCAATCGGTGGTCGCCAAAAATGACGAAATTGATATAGAAATGTTTAAAAAGCTAATTCAAAATAGGTCTCCTTTATGGAAAAAATTTCAGGCAAACTACCATGATAGGCAATTGAAAACGAGGTTGTGGGAATAAATATACATTAAATTGATTCTAATGAATATAAATTGTTTTGTAGTTAATTTTTAGGGTTCCGTATCCAAAGGGTAAAAAGGGTTTATTTGTGTCTGTCACTAGGCTGTAAATCATGAACCGTGTAAGTTAAAGATAGTTTAAATTTACACAAATACTAAAAACCAGGATGAATTAAATATTTAAGGGGGCTCCCATACAACAAACGTTATTTTATTTGCTCGTTTCGCACTTCGCCGGTATTTTAAACGTTCGTCTCGACCGATACTTACATAAAACTGACAAAAATTAGAGTAAAAATAAAATTTTAATCTCGAGAATAAAAATCTCGATGTGGACAGTCCCTCGAGGTTGAGGAATGTTAAAAAGAAATCTAAAATTCCTTATCGGACTTCCTTGCGGGAAAAAAACTGTCTTCCTATTGTTTTAGTTTGAAGTGCGGTCGGTTTTAAGCATCTGTATTTGGAAATAACCTAGAGCCTAGATGTGTAATACCTATAGGCATAAAAAATCTATCGGAAATAAAATAACCTTTATAGTTAGCAGTGTCATCATAGTTTCAGCAATGTTCTGTCCCAAACATTTTCTAGCGCCGTAACCAAATGGTATAGAGGCGAAAGCATGATAATCTTTGGCGTCTGCCTTCAGCCATCTCTCCGGTTTAAATTTAGTGGCATCATCATAATTGCTTTCTTTAAGGGCTGCGTCTTGTGTTGACATTATTATGAGAGTGCCGCGGGGTATGCTGAAAAAACAAGATTTAAATATTAATAGCTAATTTTCAATGAGGAAGTATTAAAAAAAATTAGTTCCTGAAATCAAACTAGATGTCGCTACGGTACTTTCTTGATTTCTCCATGACAACTCTTCCGGTTTTCTTTCATGTATAAAAGTATATTAATTTTCAAAACTCAATGAACAACTTATATTTTATTTGTACTTTTTCATATTTGTATTGATATCTAAGTTTTGGCCATTGCAAATTTCAATTTTTTAATATAATAGTTAAAAGGAACGAAAATGACTATCTTTAATCCATTCGTTTCCTGCAAATATCAACTTTCGGCAGAGGTGCCATCTAGTGAGGTACTTTAAATACACCCTCATTGATTTCGTAGAAAGAAACCAACGACAAACGGGCATAGATATGATTGGATATACGATTTGTCATTTGATCGTCCAATGGGCGACGATTGCACCAAAGAATTTTATTGATTTATTAGCGTAGACAGAGTAACTATTCTATGTCAACGTTTATTAGAGTAACCATACTAGATTAGATGCATAGACACTTTTCGATTTATTTTAGAGCGCATGATTTTTTATTTAGGAAACTGAGTATATGTTCAGACCACAACTGTAAATATATGTAAATTTAGACCAATAGTCGAAGTTAAATTACTTACTTATAACGATCTAATGTTATATTCCTCGGTAAGATACGTGTAAGAACTGGAATCGGTGGAACCAATCTGTGGAAAATTCAAACAATCTTGAATTTCATATACAATAACTATCAGTTATATACTTGATGCAAAATGCTTAAAAAATCCACTTTATTTCTCGCACTCTGAGATGGGACTCGAACTCGAGACCATTTTTAAAGAATTTTTTAATAATTATTGGTAATAACAATATTTTTCGGTATAATTATGTAGGATCCGGAAAATATCAGTTACTTATATAGCCTTTAAAATCTTTATTCATAATTATTACCTAAGATTCTCCTTGATACACGATTGCAAGTATGGAGTCATCGCTTTGATATTGTTGATGTCTTTCAGATCAATGTGCAGGGTTCTAAGTTCATCATATAGTATTCTCTGTGCCTGTTGGTATTTTGCGAGGTGGTAGATGAGGAATGACATGGAAGAAGTTATCTGAAATGCATATTTGATAAATTTAAACGCAGTAGGAGAACGCGTTAACACCTAATTCAACTCAAAGGTTGAAATTACTACGACTTGTCTCACGCCGTCAGCCTTGTTTAAATCGTATGTGACAAAATTCTTTTACCGTGTTGACGCCAATCAAAAGAATATCCATTACGACAGTTGCAATATCTTCTGTAGACATTTTTTCCTCGCCCAGCAGCATTGAATTTATCAAAGAATTATCTAATAACATAAATAAAAAGAGTTTAATCAACATTTCTTTATCATAACATATGGTAAAATAAAGCAAATATTAGTAGGTATTTACTTCTATTTTCCCTAAAATTATCTCTGAATACACTCGATTGTTCTGCTTCCATTACATGCTTTCCAATCAAACTGAAATGTAAATATTATAATTATTTATTAGGTGAAATAAAATAATTAATGTATATACCGCAGTAGATGGTAAAGGGGGGAGTGATAGACCAATAGCACAGCTCTCTCCTCAAAAGGGGCAGAGCAGCCCAGCGATTCCGTATAAATACGAACTCGAATTCACTCAGGTCTCCGAATTCACTTCAAAAGCGGCATCCGCTCAACCTTGAATTGGTAATATAACATTTCGTGGCATGAGTGAAGTGAGTTTCGAAACGACATAGGAACAGAATAATATCTGAGACACGTATGAACCAATCAACCTTGTTTTGTATTTTTATACAAAAACACGGAAGCAATGACACGGAAAGAACTTCTACACTAAATGACGCGTATTCGGACTCATGAATAAATTCGAATTCGAGTTTGGATTTTTACAGAACTGATTCCGTTGTAAGTATGGCCTTTGGCCTGAATGGGGGATAGGTATGGAGCACTTCCTACTGGATCCCAGGTTCTTCCCCCAAAAGATTGAAGTGCATAGTGGTCTTTTAGTGGCTATGCCATCTACTTTTTGACTAGCCTTCGGGTCCGCGTGGATGAAGAGTCCCACAACTGTGAGGAAAGCTAAAGGTTCACCCGACCGATGCCATTTGCAAATGCAATAAAATATAATATGCTCCTCACCTGTCTAAACTATCACAATACTTTACAAGCGAGTGCCAAGCGGGAGTTGTGAATATCTTCCATAGCTGTAGGCCTGATTCACACTTTATTATAGCTTCGGTAGCTTTCTCCAAGCAGTGGTACAGCCACGACATGTCACACTGACTGTACACTAGCTCCGTTTCCAACATGGTAAACTTCTTAGCGAATACAATTAATCCTATAATGAATAAGCTGTTCGGTACATCTGATAAAAGTTCTTAATTCATCTCATAAATTAATATACGTTCTCGAGTATTGAATAATCACGGATTACTCGCCCATGTGATTAGGTATATCATCCTCATTAATTTTTTGACGTCAAAAAGCCCTAGTATATTTTTTAATACGAACTAAGACATTAAATTAACGAGTTTTTATAAAATTATGATCCACAAAAAACTAATCTTGCCCAAAGTTACTACAACAATAACTCTGTTTGTTTACCTATGCAATCAAATGCCCACTTATGTAGTTCTAAGTATAGATCTTTCGATACTTCGTCTTGGTGGTTCTTTATGGTATACACCTTCTTGATAAAGTTGTCACAGACATCGCTGATACCATATAAGTGTATATTGACGGCGTTCTGCATTGGTGCACAGATTCTGTCCCTTTGACGGGACCACTCTTGACCATTGCTGTATGCATTGAAATATTTTTAAGGTTAATAAGTTTTAGAAACCATTCGTTGAAAATTGTTCGGTTAGGTTAGGTTAGTAAGAGTAAATTGGTTCTGTATAGTATTGAAAAAAAATGCCTCATTCAGGATTCTAAATGCAACATGCTGAAGTACACGACATTGATGGCTTGTTAGACGCTCTCTCCCGGCTCTATTACAAATATTTAAGCCCCGACTTTCAGTCTTACAGATCAACTGTGAGGCTGACTGATCAACTGTCGGCCTGACAGATAATTCCAGGCTTCATTTTTGAGGATCAATTAGGGCGTGACGTCAAGAGGTAGAGCAGTTACTGTGCGAATTTGGACATCACTGTTTTTTTGTTCTCGTGAAAATACGACATATGACCATCACAAGCTACATCACATCAGCCTAGCTCCTCATAATAAAACGGAATTACCATTAAATGAATGAAGTTAATGTTATTTTCAATAAATAGATTAGCAACATTAGAAAATCAGCAAAAATATAACATAAAATTAAGTATTAAGACCTTTATGTACAAAAAAGTAACATATGTATAACGGCCATTAGAAAATAATCAATTTTTATATCTCTCATGGACGATAACGAGCTAAATTTTATTTGCCACCCGGGCAGTATTTAAAACTACGCATATGATATCACTTAAGTAGGATAAATCCGGGAAACACCGGACGTATGGTAACCCTAATCATAACAAGCAAGGATTTACATGCCTCATTTGTACGCTTCTCCTCTGTAACTTGTTAATCTTCAGATAAAGATAAATAAATCTCATTATTTTCGTATACGTAAGTAGGTACCTTAAAAATCCGGTAACATAATAAAAGACCATTCGGCACTCACAGCGTATAAAAACCACCGCAAACTTGGTTTCTATGTTCCGTTCTGTATTTGTTCAACGAGTCTAGTGTGGATCGAACGGGAAAATCTCCTTCCATATTATACACTTTTTCAATATGCTCTGGATGGTTCACCAACACGATGTCGCCACCCACAGGGCTCACGAAGCGAACGACAGGCCCGTACTCGTCGAATAGTACCGATAGAGTCTTCAATGACTTTCTTTTGCTTATGAAAGTACCTGGCAAGGGCTTGTATAATAAGTATCATTTATAATACCCACCTGCCCAAACGACCATTTAAATTGTCATTAGTATTTAAGCTACATATTTTCAAATTTAGTAAATTTATTTGAGCTTAAAATCATGATTAAAACTTAATTGACGTTTGTGCAACTAGGTAAGGGTGTTAAGGGGGAACGCAAACGCAAAAGTCTGTCCTGAAATAGAGACAGGTTAGAACGGTTTTAAATTAATTACTTCAAAACTATCACGAATATTGTGAAGTGCTGCATAGTTCCCTCGACTACAACGTGATTACGTGAAACAAATATTTATTAATTTTTACTATAAAAACGGTAAAATAAACAAGAAATTGAAAAAATTGAAAATTTTAGTGATTTTTTAAAGAGAAAATTTAATAAATCGTCCTATTGCCTGTCACAAACAGAACCGTTAGAAGTATTATATAGTATTTTTGTAATTTTCAACAGAGTTTAAAAACATTGAGGTTATAAGTTTGATGTGTATGTTTGACTTTAAAAAAACGTAATAAAGAGAAACGGCTGAAAAGAGAAAAATAACACCACAATTTTTTATCATCAATAAAATCGAAACACTAAATGTGGATACACAATTTTTTTTTTTTTTTAAGTTTGGTGCCAGATATTTTTAAGAAAGTATTATGTATGAGAGATAAAGAAAAAAATCTGATGGGTATGTTTTACTTTTTAATGGACACGGCTGGCAACGACCTCGTAAAAAAAATTTGGTGAAATTAAATAAAGAGAAATTTTATTACGATTTTTTTAAATCGGTTAAATTGAGTACATTACTGTGTTATCAGTAAAATGATAATAAATGAATAGATATTAGATAACATCACATATATTGCTCAAACTCCAAAAAATTATATAGCTAAAGAACTTATTTATACATTTGGAATTTGAAACATAGATATTCGAAAGTAGGGTGTTGGGATGCATGTACCTACTACATTATCTACACTGGAATCGAGTAAGAAAATAAAGTCTCCTGCATTAACCCGACCGGGAACCAAACCCAGTACCTCATAGGGATACTTTAAAATTGGCATGTACTCTTATTAACGAATAGCAATTCGTAGGTAAATACTTATAATTTATCATAACCAATCATATAGTGACTATTGCAGTTACAACGGAGAAAAAAAAACAGTTTAAAATGGCATTGGCATTGTTTGTGCAACTGGCTGATAGAGTAGTAGATAGAGTAGCAGAATATGATAGGTCATCCATCTATATCTATACTATTTAATGTTTGATTTATAAGTAAAAAAGATTTACCTATATCTAATCCCACAGTAAGCATACTCGCTGTAAGTTGTGTCCCAACGTCAGACATATATTGGCGGATGCTTGATAAATATTTTAAAGTCTTTGGTCCAGGAACATCGTCGAATGACAATACCACAGGTTCTTTATTTGTTAAAACCATAGGGACAACTTTTGGCGCCGGAAAAATTTCACTGAAAACCTGTTTGTCGGTGTCGGACATTCCATCGGCTTTACGTGACGTCGAGGCTTCATCCTTTTGACAGTCTTTTATTTCAGGTTGCGTTGAAATTTGATAAAGAACTTTCTCCGTACTGAAATATCTTCGGCTATTGGAATTTATATGAGATCTTATAAACCGCAACTGATTTAATATCATTGTATTTAGTCTGAGTTAATAGTAGAAATAAATTATTCTCTTTATATGAATTGATATTTGTTTGCAAAGAGTATGGTATAGTTGTTTTGACATTACAAAAACCGAAACAATGGAATGCTCACCAATTTTTTTAAATTTCGCTCTATTTATGACGACATGAAATAATGTTTAGTACTTCGATAAATGATAATAAAATTATGTAAAATAATTTTGGTTATCTAAGTTTTATTTTTAAATATTTAATAAGAATACAATTAATTATCAGTTATATCGTAATATAAATAAAAGTATATATGAATATTAATATATTAATAAATCAAGTTGACTTCCGCTTCTCAATGTCATAAAATTATTGATAAGCAAACGGATTTAGCTCATACATCCTTCCAATTCGTAATTTTTATCACTAAAACATTAACGTTCAAAGTTACTATAATAATATTTCACTGGGTTTAATGATTTAATGTTTCACTGGGTTATTTTAAACTTTATCTTATAAAATATGTTATTATAATACGAATCGGAATCAATTTCATTTAAGCATAAAATATAAAAACCATTGAAACCAAGTCATTGAAAATTAGGATTTATTAATTCAAAAATTTAAAAAAATCTTGGAGCTGTTGATTTAAGAATGATTTACTCTGTTTCTACAAAATATAGTACCGATTAGGTACTTTCGTTTTTTTAATTTTTATGAGGCACCTTATTACAAACAACTTAATGGAGTCCTTTAAGTTTCTGAGGAGTAGGTATATTATATAATCACCCGGTAAAGACACGGATCATCCTGCGTGTTAGGTAGTATTATAAAATTCTTTTAGATAAGGAAGGACCACGGACCACTTCATGGATGAGATGGACCAGGCGCAAATATTTGATGTATTAAAAAAAATATCTGTCAAATAAAATTGCGAGCAAAGCGACCACTAGTGGCAGATGGCGGGATTGATCTCGTGTGATATAACTGTGTTAAATGGTTAGATTAGTTTTAAAATTGTAGTGTTTATCATAGAATAGTTACTAAAATGACTAGGTAAGTCAATATCCCAAATGTTTTACTATATGCACTGTCTATTGACTTTACTATTTATGTCGGGAAATTGAAAACACTTGTCGAATCTATAATCCGTAGATGACTATTGAAATTCAGGTGAATTTATATCATAAAAATGTCTTCACGTTTTCAGAGCTAAAATAGAACTTGGCGACGTAACACCGCATAATATAAAACAGTTGAAAAAGTTAAATACAGTCGTATTTCCAGTATCTTACAATGACAAGTTTTACAAAGACGTTTTGGAAGCTGGCGAACTTGCGAAACTAGCATATTACAATGACATCGTCGTTGGTGCAGTGTGCTGTAGGATAGACACGTCGGAGAACTCTCGGAGGCTATATATAATGACTCTGGGCTGTTTGTACCCATATAGGAGATTGGGAATCGGATCTTTGATGGTGGAACATGTGCTCAAGTATGTTGAACAAGATGGAAATTTCGACAGTATTTTCCTGTAAGTAAACATTATATAAATTTAAACATCCTATTAGTCCATACAGTTATCTTATGTCACATGTAATATTAAAACGAGTGTAGAGAGTGATTGGTGTTATTTTAAATTCAAGGTTATGTAGGTATCTTTGTTATTCATATTAGAAGTTAGTATTATAGCTCATTTCTATTGTGAAATTATTAATAAGTCACAGTAAATGATGCTGATGATTACATAGAAAGTACAAAGAGAACATATTTAGGTAATATAAAATTATCCAAGGCTATTTCATTATTATTGTCATAATAGAAAGGATGTCTTTATATAGTATTACTAACAGAGTGTATAAGATATTGAAATTGCGGTTACTTTAGTGGACAAGCATGATTCAGTCAAAACTTAACACTTAAAATTTGTTTCAGGCATGTACAAGTAAATAATGAAGGTGCAATAGATTTTTACAAGAAATTTGGCTTTGAAATTGTTGAAACAAAAGAACATTACTACAAAAGAATAGAACCAGCTGACGCTCATGTATTGCAAAAGACAATCAGACTGACCAATGCCGCCGCACCTCTTCTGAACGGTACTGTTTCACATGCCAAAACGAACGGACATGATTGAAGTCAATTACGAACCCCAATAGTTATTCCTAAAGCCTCTAATAGGTTGTTACAGTGGAACAATCAAGTGATACAATGTGTTTTAAGTGTAAAGTAACTGGATTAACCTGATTGAATAAAAATAAGACTTTGTGAATGAGTTTCTCAATAAATTATGGGTGTAAATGTATGAGGCCATAAAATGAATAAAAACGACTGATTATTCCTGAGCTCGGTTTGTCAAGTGTTGTACATAGAACTTCCATAGTTAAATGAAACACACTTAGCAAAAAGATTCTAATGCATATTGCATTAGGTCACAATCACAGAACATAGAGAGAGAATAGAAGTAGTAAGTGGGCGGGGCACGCGTCGCTGGCATATGCGCTTTTACTCATATGACGCCCTTTCCTCGGTTTTATGTTTGCCAGTCGTTCGTCAATCGTCGAGTGGTGATTTTACAGATTTTTTTTATAAAAAATGCCGTTTTGTGCTATTATCACTTGCAAAAAGCAAAGCAAAGTATACAATCTAACTAATGCAAACATTTCCTTTCACTGGTAAGTTCAATTTTAGTGCTAAAATATAAAAAACGTAATAATTTGACACAATGTTAAATAAAATATACATTGATTGCTCAAACAAACATCAATGTTTCTGACCCCATTACTAAACAGCAATGTAAATCATTTTGTGCACTTTTGCAAAAAATAGTGCTGTGCCTCCATTTGTCTGAAATGTACCGATAGGCTGCTGCTGCTCGGAATCGTATTGTTAATTATATGGATCGTAATCGATAACTAAAACATATTTATTTAGAGCTTTTCTTTCATCATTTCATAACAACGTTATCGATAAATATATGGCATTATTATATAAAACTAAAAAATACTGTTTACAAGGGAAAATTATAGATGAACTGATACTGAACAAATGAAATAATGAACTGTCCAGGCACTTTTAATACGAAGATTCGGTTAATTATTTACACGCAGATAAATATTAAAAATTATTGATGTGCTATAAATATCTAAGTTACGAAGTATATCACCGTTTTATGAACAATACATAAATTAAACGAAACTTCGTGAAAAGCTAAGAGTTGGCCTAATAGGTCTTGTTAGAAACTGGTGAAACTGGATTTCACTTATTTTGCATTACTTATATTTCAGTTTCCCTAATAACTTTACAACGGATTGCCTTGTTTACATAATTATTTTTGCCCTATCTGTTTTAGACCTAAACCTATCAAATGAATTTCAAAACAACATAATATCTATACAAACAAAAAATTATGTTTTCAACTAACGTAATATTGTTGGTGGTGTGAATTTAATTTACAAAATTAATTTTTAGGCGTCAATTTAATTTACCTTATTCTGCTGATTCATAATCGGAAACTATTATTATAGAAATCGAGTTAAGAAAGTCACTTTAAAGAACCGCCCACAGAACAGCTTTTATCAGTTTTTTTGTTGCTCCATATTTGCACATAAGTTTATAGACGCATGTCTCAAACGGATGTGACTTTATATGTAGATTGACGTTTGTACGTACTTATCGCTTTTGTGTCTATCTTCAAACTTTTTTTGTCACGGCTTTCAAACTCATACTTGACCAGCGATTCCTTATTGTCTAGTCGTTGCAATTAATAATGTAGCTACTACTATTATTACAGATATAAAACTTAGAATAATAAAGTAAAACAAACACGGCTATGATCAATTTATTAGTGTAATGATCATATTAGTTATTATGAAATGAAATGAAAATATCTTTATTCAAGAAGGCTATTCCAAGCACTTGGAATGGCAAGTTTATTTTTATTTCTACTTTTTTTTTGTGAAGGAATCGTAATGTTTTCTTGCGTACATAATATTTTCATTGATGTATTGAGAGGCAACAGTCAAAATATTTATTTCTTTAAATATTTCTCTGAGAGATTATCTAGACCGTAAATTATATATAGCGTGGACAGCTCTCTTTTGTAGAATAAAAATATCTTGAATGCTAGCCGCAGAAGCCCATAACAATAGATTATACGTCATTCATTACACTATGAAAATAACTAAAATATACCAATCTTGCCGTTTCAACATTTGTTAAGAGTCTAATTTTCTTAACAGCAAATGCTGCAGAACTCAGTCTACTTGACAAATTATCAATATACCAAAATACCAAGGAACTTTGTCGATTCCACCATCTCAACTTTTTCACTATTTACATTTATAAGTATATTAACATGCCTCACATTAGGTAATGCAAACTTTATGTATTTCGTTTTATTTGAATAAAGCTTTAAATAATTACTATCAAACCACTGTAGAAAATTGTTGAACTGAATTACATTGAACTGTTTCATAACAAAATTTAAAGCTCTTATTTTATCAACTAATATGTCACATCACTAATATGCACAATCGGAATGATACCAGTAAGAAAAAAATACAAATTAGGCTTAATGTAATTAATACAAAAATTCTGTTGTTTTCTTAATTTTTGTTTTTTTTACACTTTCCCTCGCTTAATTATATTACTCCACAGACATACGATAGAGTGTATCATTAAGTTTTCTTAGTTTTTGTACTGCGTTTTTTAAAAGATATTTTAATAAATTATGTAGGGAAAAGCCTTAATTTTTCAGTATTCACTTGGTTACAGCAAAATCTAATATTAATAGTTCGCAAATAAAATGATGACCCCAATTTTTTTAAATGTGCATAATCTTAAAATATTTTTTTCCTTCTGGTATCCCCATATACAGCCACGTGACAGTTCAACATTCATGTTAAAGTAAATTATTTATTATCACGTTGAATTAGAGTTTGTTTTTAATCGTGTGATTTCTTAGCTTAGTATCTTTTTGGGATTTGATTTATGTTATCGCGAACCTATCGCGTGGCGGTTTTTCATGTAGTGAACAAAATGATCATTTCATCTAATCTGCATTTGTGTGCGGAGAGGCGACACTCGGTTCCCATACTAAATTAATATCATTATACTTCTAATCTCTCTCTATGTTCTGTGGTCACAATGAATAATCTAGTATCTATTTGTACAGGATATGACATAAACTCTTGTAATGTTAGTCAAAGTTATTATTTTATATTTGTAAATTAATTCTCTTTATGACTTTTAATATCAGTTAAGATGCAAAAATACTTAGCTCTAGGCATTGTTTTAACTATGTCAAACTCACAACTATTTCAGATTTATGTGGATTTTGTACTGTCCCATCATAATATAATTATAGTAGTAAATATTTTCAAAATTTTCTAGTTCCTTCAGTAATTGAAAATAATGTGGAGTATTGTTTGTTACAAGTTACTAGGAAAGGAAAAATATTAATTGCTTTGTTGATAAGCTTTGATAATAGAGTGGCAACATTATCTAATTTAGCTTAATTCTTTTTTGCACTACAAATTCATATTGGGTTTTCAAATGTTCTATAATTTTGTTGTGTTTTTAATTAAATTTTTTTGTATTATTGATGATTTTAATGTGGTCCCTCGATATATCTTTAGAATTTTTAACTAAGTCATTTTCATATAACAAGATCTGTTAACCGATAAGTCAATTGTGTCTTATTATACAGTACTCTTTCTAAAAAATGTTTGTTAATACATCATGTTCACTACAACTTTTAGCATAAATAAATATCATCATAACATAACCAATTGGTGTTTTTTTGCCATATTTTTTTTATTATTATCCTGAATTTTTTATATGACATTACATTATTGTTTACTGCGGAGTGAACCACAATGTTTCTAGTTTAAAAGGTAGTGGCCAAAATGAGTAAGAGTGTGATATTTATTTTATGTTAAAGTACTTCATATTTTCACACAAACATCTGAGATTTGCTGAGTTTCATGATGTGCAATCTGAGCACCTTATGTCTACTTTTTTATATCAAGAGTTCTACTTTTTCTTTTTCCTTGAAGTCCTTCCTTAAAGATCAATAAATTCACTTCAAATTCAAGAGGGTGGCGCTGCTGTATTAATAAATAGTCAGTTTTATCCAGCGGTGGAAATGGGTACTTTTTCAAATGTCCAGACAGTAATGTCATTGTTGAGTGTTTTCCATTTTTGAGAGTGTTGAGGCTTGATAATAAAAAAATCATATTAATTATCATTAATTTATTGACATAAAGATTATACAATATTGTCGTTATGATTATGACTAGTTTGTTTTTTTCTATTGACATCTTTGGTCATTCTGTATTGAAACCGTTTCCGCATTGATATTTAACCATGAATAGCATATGTTAATATCTTTGTTTTCATTAAAATTTCCTTTTAAGGCCGCGCTTCATTTAATACTGTTTTTAAATTCATCTACGAGGATTTAAAATTTTGACAAGTTTTACGATTTTATGAACATACCTCTTTATTCTATAAAAATATTGTTAATTTTAAATATATTTTTACAAATTTGTAAATTACACAAACCATGCAACATTAAAGTGTTGTTTTTTTTACAATATAATCGTGCATTTTAGAATACTATTAAGCTTTTACAAAGCCTCAATTCACTATCACAGACATTGTTACATATATATTGCATTAACTTTCACTTAAAATTATTTCCAAGCGTGAAAGGATGTCGAATCACCATACATACGATTTTAATATTATAAGACGTTGGTGGAAAGTAATAAGCAAATTTTCACTTTTAAAACCTTCATAATTTCATTTAATTAACAAGATAATTAAACGTAATTGTTTCATTAATAAAAATTTTGTATATGTTGAAAATAATATAAATGTATAGCAAATATTAATAAATATAATGAGAAAAAAAAGACTTATTGATTGTCGACTACTAGCTTAAAATAATATGGTTGGGCTGGCTTGAGAGAACTTTTTGACGATGGAAAAAGGTGCGGGCTTACTTTTTTTTTAACGTAGTGGAAATGCAACCTTCTTAAACCAGGGTTCTCCGACCACATGGGATAACCCAACCTACTTTAGCTATTTTTGCTCCTGTTTAATTCCAAGGAAGGATCAGAATGTATAGAG